CCCGAGAGAGTGACAGATTAACCTTTGTGAAGAAATATATTATTGTGCTGATTAGCTCTAATAATAACTTTAAATTTGTGTAAATATCTGTACCTAAAGGATATTTTTTGTTGGTAGTTTTAAGCTCAGAATATAGTTTTTCATGGAAGTGAAATGGCAGTGTTGGTTAAAGTCTTAGACTAGCCCATAAAAACTCATTTAATGTATAATGAAGCAGCATTGTAATACTCCTGGTAATCAGATACTGTTCCAAGTGATCAGGACTCCGGAGGTGGCAGTGGGGGCAGGGTGGATGACAGTGGCGGAAACACCCCTGGCTGGGAAGTACAGCCCTGAAGGTGGTGGCTTGTACGCATGTGGGCCCCAAATCCTCTTGACATATTAATATTGCTCGTGTTGTGTTCCAACTCATTTTCCTTCTTGGGGCCTCATTTTTTTGCTATTAAAGTTCTTCTTGCTCAACAAATCATAGGCTGCATTATACTATTTCAGTTTTTTTCCCCTCTCCTAGTCATTGTGCATGAGGAATTGTAACTTTGAATTGTGAGAGCTAATTATAATGTGAAACTGGAATCTGAAAGTTCTTGAAGACACTTGGAAGATATTGACAGCTTTTTCTTTGAAAATTACTTTAATTTCTTTTATCTTTGTTCAGGATCTTGACTTAAGCTTTTAAAATAAGAACTAATTTTTCCAAAGAGCTATTCTTTCCCATAATGTCAGAATCCTGCTTCCTGAGAGCAGGCAAACTTTTCATTGAAGGTTGGAAAGTAATTCGTCTCCATTTTTAATGGCAACACTGTCAAACTAGTGGTAGAATGATGCAAATAATCCTTGTGGGCTGTAACTGTTATGATCCTACACACGTAATTGCAGGTGCGTTCAGTTGTTATGCAAGCTTGAAACTGGGAGCTGATCTGATAGTTTGCACATGCCAAGATTTTAAAGTTTATTATATTTTTATTCCAAGTCCCCAGGTAAAGTTTCTAAGGGATGACAGAAGAAGCTGGATTACTCCAAAATTAAAGGTCTCTGGCAAGATTCTGCTCTCCAAAAGAATGGTGGAATGGAGTTTCTTCTAAAGTTGTAACCTTCAAATTCCCTTTTCCTTCTGTCCCTAAACTTTCCTCTGTTTAAGGCTAATTTGACAGAGCTGCTTGAGACTATTGCTCGAGGGAGAAATAATGATCTTGAGGTGTGAATACTGTAAAGGTAGCTCTGGTTTCCTTTAACCATGGTCAGATAGTTGCATTTCTGTTCTGGTTAATTCTGACGATAGTTCCGGGGTAGGCTCTGGGTGATATATCGTAGGCTTCAGAAGGAAAGGGTCGTCTGAATTCAGACTTGGCCTTTGTTTTCTCTCAGTTTTGCCCGGCACGTTTTTATCCTTGGAGGAAGGATACTCCTCTGCTGGGACTCCCCACTTTGACAAGTCTCTTGACCATTCTTTAGATGTTCAAGAATTGGTTTTATGGCCTCTTCTTGGGAGAAATCGTGTTGCACTGGGTGGGTGGTGGGATTAGATGTTGCTTTCAGCACAGGAGCCCATGGTCCTGGCCCCCCTCTTCAGGGTGCTTGCTTGTTTCTGGTCCCAGGTGGCTGCTGGGGATTCTGGAGAGCTTAACTGTGGGTGATGAGGCAATCAGATGTGTTTCCTCTGATGAGCGGGCAGTAGGGCTAAGTGTGATCAGGTATCTTACAAAGAAGGGGTGCTAACTAAGGAATTCAGACTTGAATTCAGTCAGGCTTCTGCTCTGACTGAATGGTAGCAAGTAGCTAACACGTTGAAGGAAGTATTTTTTAGTGAAAATAAAGTGGGCTTTTCATTTCGTGTAATTACAGAAAGAGAAGACTATCAGGGCATTTATCACTGAACCTTTGAGTTAAGCCTCACAAAGAACGGTAAGAGAATGTGGAAAGTGACAACAACTTTGCAATATAATACTAAAACAGTGCCATCACAGTCTCTGAAATTGAATGCAGAGATAAATTATTAAAGGAAAAGACTTAATAGAAGTAGCACGTAGGGCAGGAGTTCTTCAGTAACTTTGGGATTCAAAATAAAGTCTTTATAATATGAAACTTGAGGATAGTATACAGGCAAAAGTAAGTACATTTCCTTTGCTACTGCAGGGTGCATATTTGCTATGAAAATAATTTTTATTTGGACTTGCAGTGATAGTTATATATATTTGTGTGGAACTCATTTTAAATTTAGTTACACACTTAACTAAGGCACACAGAAATGAAACTTAAATTGCAGGAGGAATAAATTATTTTAATAGAATGTCATAACCATAAGAGGAGATACTAGCTTACCATTTTTCTTTTATAGTCAGAGTTTTCATTACTATAAAATTTCACTTTAGAAAGAACCTTGCATTAATGTAATTGCTTGTTTATTAACAAACAACTCCAGAAGCATGAACTCACTCCACTTGTTGAGGTAATAGAATCCATGTATTTATCCATTTTTTGAATTTGATGGTATTAAATTGGGATTACTGACATTTGGTGTATAAAGATATGTATGTTTTGGGGATTACTTTAGAAATATGTTCCTTTAGGTTAAAGTGAAATAATCTTATTCTTTGTTTTTAAATTTTGAAATAATCTTATTCTTGAAAAATGAACCTTTAATGTCCTTTTTTTCCCTAAATTATTATGAGAGAATGGAGCTTTTATGTTGCATTAAGTTATGTTAAAATTTGCATAATGTTGATTGGTATAGGTTGGAGATAAAAATGTAAATTGGATTTTGCAATTGAAGGGGCACAGAATACATGACCCCAAAATATGGCACTTTGGCATGTAGATTATTTTGAAGTCAAGACCCAGAATTCTCAACAGAAAACTACCCCACCCTTAACTACCTTAAAGAATTTAGGTAGAGGTTCTGGCTCAGAGAGAGAGCTGTTACCGGGAATAACTTTATCTGAATGACCTATCTGTATAGCAGGACGAACATCTAATTACCAAACATCTGTTCTTACTGTCCTGTGAATTGCCCTCCTCCCCTTTGAAGCCCCAGGCCCCTATCCCATTCAGAATGGCATATGAAAGCCTCAACTTCCTACTTGCCCTTGGATCTCATACTCTTACAGGATTCCATACATATGTAATTAAAGTTGTTTTTCCCCTATTAATCTGTGTTCTGTCAATTTAATTAATAGACCAGCCAAGAGAACCTAGAAGGGTAGAGGAAAAAATTTTCCTCCCCAACACAATCAAAAAGATTGGTACAACTATGTGTTTTTTCCCTCTTTACTTAGATATATATATTATGCCCTGTAAAAATGTGGACAATGAAAAATATATTTGCTTAAGAAAACTTAAGGGAGAGTAGCATTTTTTTTAAAGCTCTTTATTGTTTAGTATTTTTATAAGGAATGTCATAAAATTAAGCCATCACTCGGTATCTGTGAGGAAATGGTTAACAGGACTTCGTACGGATACTAAAATCAGTGCATGCTCAAGTCCCTTATATAAAATGGTGTAGTATTTGCATCTAACCCATGTACATCCTCCTGTATACTTTAAGTCATCTCTATAGATTACTTATAATGTCTAATTCAATGTGAATTTTATGTAAATAGTTGTAAATACAATGTAAATACGATGTAAATAGTTGCCAGTTCATTGCAAATTCAAGTTTTGCTTTCTGGGACTTGCTGGATTTCCCCCCCCACCCCAAATATTTTCCATCTGTGCTTGGCCACATCCACAGACGCAGAACTCACAGATATGGAGAGCCAAGTGTACCCTAGCCAGGCGTATTCTGAAGAGGGAGGATGTTTGTGGACATGTCCAACGCTAACTGTGAGCAAGGAATTAGATGCCTTTCTTGAATGACACAAGGTGATGAAGTTAAGGTGTATAGTTGCAGGTAGCTTTAGTCCTGGCAACAGGAAATGAGCTGTTTCTGAAAACAGCATGAAGTATAATTCAGAGCAGCTGTCTGCTTTATCAGCAAGAACAAACTGCCCCTATTTTAAATATACCAATTACTTTAGGTACCCATTAAGGACCTGCTCAGCCTACTAATGTTTGCTCCAAACTGGAGAAAGTTTACCTTTCTTTTTACAATCTCTTACATTTCTTTTAAGTGCCCTTTAATTTTTGAATTCATATCCACTATTAGAAATCTTTTTAATTTGATTTCCAATCACCAGAAAAGTATTTAGCCGGTCAACTTTCACACATCGAATGCACCATGCAGGCAGCACCTGAATCATCCGGTGGTTTCTATAGCGTAGCTGGGGAGACCACCTATGGCAACGTTCAGCGAAGATTAGATCCCTCGCTGACTTTCTAGTATTTCTACACCAGACTAATGTATTTACCAAAACATTAAAAATTACTGAATTTTCTGAAGGTACCTGGTAAAAATGTTCCATCTCAAGGAATCTTCGTGTAGCCTTAAAAGAAAACATTAATGGCTGTCTTTTCTAGTGATACTAGAATGCTGATCAAACGTCTCTGTTTCTGATTCTTCCCATGCTCCATGTAGTATTCAGTCTGAACAAGCACTTTTTTTTTTTTTAAACTCTTAATTCGTGCCGGGTACTGTGCTGCTCTTGAGGGTTACAAGAATGAGCAGGCATCCAGGCCTTCCTGACCCAGGGTAGGGAAGTAAAGTAACAAACCAAAAAAAAAAATTGAAAATTGCTGTAAGAGTTTCGTCCTGGACTGTTTGGCAGATGGATGGGATGGAAGCACCGTTCTCAGCCCCAAAGCAGAACTGGTGCCGGCATTAAGGTCATGCTAGCCTGTAGTTGCGACTGTAAATACAACTACTTTTGATAATATTTTGTTGTTCTAAGATTTCCAGACTTTGAGTCTTAGCTTGAATGTTTTTGAAAGATTGAGCTCTTATTTGCAGGTCTGATTAATCTCCATAGAAAACCCTTTGATCTGACTGCCCTCCTCCTGTCCTCTCCTTTTCTGCATAGACGCATGCCTGTCTGCTTTATTTCAACAGCAGAGAGATCAGGGCTGTTTAGAAGAGCTAGCGAGATACAGATGAGACTGTATTATAATGGGAACTCCATAGTGTCTCTGCCAGGATCACCCTTCACCACCCACTTTAGTCATGGGTGGACACAAAACGCAACAGCCAGTGGGGAGCCCTGACTGTGGGCCGGGTACTATGCTGTGTACCAGAGAACAAGGTAAGGCATAGTCCCAGCTTTCAGAAGTGTGTGGTCGTAGTGCGCACCTGGAAAGAATAATCGTAGTGTTGCTGTCACAACGCAGTTGGCATTATGCTGTCCACCAGAAACTCACACAATGTGGTAAATCAACTGTCCTTCATTAAAAAAAAATAAAAGATAAAACAGGAAAAAGAAAAAAACATGAAATGGCTTGCTGGTTAAGTGGCTTGTATCTTGGACACTGGTCACTAATCCGTGTTTTTCATGCTGCGAGGACAGTTGTTGTGTAACTGCGAAGTTTGCCTGTTTGAGTTCATGGGGAGAGCACCATGCCTGACGGTGTCAGGAGGGTTGAGTTTACGTTAAAGGGGATGATCGGCTTGTTCCTGGTTAGGAGCTAACGGTGGGAACAAGCCTCTGTTGAAGGGTTTTCTTTTTGGCCACAGTGTGTGTATGTCTGTGTGTTGTTTTGTTTTTGTTTTTTTTTAAGACTGATAACCAAACTGTTTATAAGCAGGCAAGCTAAAATTGTTCCCTTGGCCTTGGTTAAAGCAATTGCCTGACCAGCGTTGCCAGAGTTCACTCAGCGGTTGAACACTGAATGTCCGCTCTGCACCAGGCCTGGGAGGCGCACTGGTCCTTCTAGCGTTTCTGTTCAGCTGCAGGAAACTAAGCAATTACAATACAGAAATACAGTAATAGGTTTGAAGGTGGGGAATGTGGTGGGGGAGAAAAAGGAGTCAGATTGGAAGTATGTGTGACTGGGAGACAGGGTGGGGCAGAGTTAGGAGGGGGTCTAGTGCACAAGGCTGCCTTCATGTCTCACACTAGTCCAAGTTTGGGGGTCCTCAGCGCCCAGTGCTTGAGTAGCTTGCTAGAAGCCCACACAGAACTCATGAAAGCTCTGTGCTCATCGTTTATTGCAGGGAGAAGATCCAGATTAAAAGCAGCAGCCACGGGAAGTGGTGCACAGGGCAGAGCCCAGAAAGTTCCAAAGGCAGAATGTCCAGTAGTCCTCCCCCTGTGAACAGCACTCTTGGCATTGATGTGTGATGTTTTTGGCAGCCACGTATGACGGTAGACAGAGTACTGTCACCAGGGAGGCTTACCCAAGCCTTGGTGTGCAGAGTTTTTGTTGGGACTGTCCTGTAGGCATGGTTGTCTGACCAGGTGGTGTATCTCAGTCTCTTGCGCCACCGAGGGGTCAAGCTGACCCACAGCCCCACCCCAAATCACACTGTTACACTCTCCCGCCTGACCCAGGGTCCCCAGGCAAACAGAGATGCTCTTATCAGGCTATGTAACCCCAGGGCTTGGCGATGACCTCCCAGAAGCTGAGGGCAAGGACCTCCCTTCTGGCAGATTAAATTCCTTCACACACAGGTGGCTCTGTTAGGCCACGGGAGCAGCTTGAAGGAGGTGAGGGACTAAGCTGGGAAGACGTTTGTGGAAACAGTGTTACAGGCAGAGGAACAGCCAGTGAAAGACCCCGGTGGCAGGAGTTAGGCTGTTCAGAGAGCAGCAGGGCAGGCAGGGCCCCGTGTGGCCGGGGCAGGACAGGAAGGAGCTGTGATAGTTGCAGTGGGAGGCACCGGGCCCGGGGGGATTTGGGTTTTTCTGAGTGGAACAGGGGGATGTGAGCAGAAGAGTGCACTGGTCTGATTCAGCCCCAGAGTCGCAAACCAGAAGTGCTTTGTTGCTAGTGGATTTGGGAGATGAGGGTGGACGTGGGGAGCCAGGAAGCGGGATGCTGTGGCCGTCTGGGCGGGAGAGGACGGCAGATGGGTCAGCTAGGAGCAGTGACGGTGGGGCGAGGCTGTAGGATCTGGGTATGTTTTGAGAGTAGCCGTGGCTAGATTTGCTGACGGATTGATGGGGATGTGAGAGGAAGGGAGAAGTCGAAGGTGACCCTGAGGTTTCTTTCCTGAACAACTAGAAAGATAGAGTTGCGTTTAAGGAGCAGTTTGGGTGAGATCAGGTTTTTTTGTACCTGTTAAATTGGAGATGTCCATCATGTATACATACGGAGATACAGCTTTGGAGTCCAACGAAGAGACCGGACTAGGGCTGGGGAGATGCATTTGGGGATCACAGCACATGGGCAGTAATGAACGCATGCGACTAGAGGAGACCTTCGGAGGAGTGAGCGCGGATAGAGGGCGGCCGGGACCAAGGGCTGAGCCGGGCGGCCCTGAACGGGCTCTGGACTGAGCAAAGCAGAGTCGCTGCCGACTGCGGCGTGAGCGTTTCCACGGGGGCCGTGGTGGAGGTGAAAGCCTGATTGTAGAGGGTTTAAGGAGGGTGGGGTGTTAGGGATTGAGGGGAAAACGAGAATAGAGTTCTCAAGTTCTTTTGTTTGTTTTTTTGGAGCCATTTCTCTGTAACAGCAGAGAAATGGAGAGGCAGGCTGAGGAAGACTTAGGTGGGGTGTGTGTGTGTGTGTGTAGAGCATGGAGAGTTAATAGCATTATAGATGCTGATAGGAATGTTCCAGCAGAAGGGCAATAATTATACAGGAGAGAAGAGGGAGGGACCTCAGAAACGATGGGGTCTCGTGCTGAGATCTGGTACAAGATGGAATGGGATCTCGGGCCCAGGGGGAGGATGAGGTGTTGAGAGCATGAACAGTTATTTACATCCGAAGGTGAGCGGTATATTTGAGGATGGAGATGCTGGGAGTGAGTGGATGTGTTTGTGTGAATTTGTGCCAGTTTTCTGACTGAGTGTTATCACTGAAGAAGGCCGTAAGGTTACAAGACGTGAGTGAGAATGGGGAGGGTGGTTTGAGGGCAGAGAGGTGCTATGTTCTAAAAGGGTATCAGAGAGAGTGACCTTGTGTGGACCTGTGTCCTGCTCAGTTCACATTTGGTCATTTCTCTGTCCCTGAGAAGCACATCAGAGACTTCTAGTGTTTTGTTGTGTTTTGTTGTTTAATTTGGTTTGAGATTGTTACTTCAGTCACTCTCCAAATCTTTTAATCTCCATATATAATTCAGATGTATTTAAATTGCCCCCGCGCTTTCTAACTTTGCTGTTATAAAAGTTGGGGAAAAAAAGGTTTCCCATCAGTATCTTCCCAAATACTCAGTCCAGAAACGTACAGAGTGTATACAGTGCTCTGCTTAAGAGTGGGAAAACGCTGCGGCCAGATGCCCCACTGCTCCTTGTATGATTTTGGCCACAGGAGCTAACCACTTGAGCTTTTTCATCTTAAAAACAGTAAATGTACAGAGTACTTACACATCGCGCCGGGTGAGTGTAAACAAAACACTCAGAACTGTAAAGGCTCAGTGAATGCCGGCTGTAAGCAGCGATGATCCACACCTTTCCTCTTCCGTATTGCAGCAGAATGAGCTTGTAAAAACTTCCCAGGTGGAAGTAGGTGGGCTTTTTCGGGTCACATTTCTTCCTGTCAGTCCCTCCAGCTTCTCTGCAATATGTGGTAAGGTTGGACCACACCCAGCCTGCTATGAGAGCATCTTTCTTCCGAGTTGCCTGGACGCCTCTTCCTCATTGTGTGGGAGAGGGCCATGTGACAGACTTCTTGGCTGCTGCTTCCTGGGTCTGCAGTCAGATAAGCCTAATTCCAAGAACTGGCTGAACAAAGTAAAACTGAAGCATGAATATGATTCTCTGTATCATGGTTAAAATATCTCATGAACTCTCTTGCTTTGGAGATGAGGCCAAAAAAAAAAAGCTTACTGTCTATAGATTTACCATAAACTGGAAATCTCTTCTAAACTGGTGATTAGTTTTTAAAAACCTCAAAGCATTTATACATATTCTGAGAAAACATGACATTTTTGGGGGCGTGTTCATTTAGTGTAAAACTTCTTGACTATCTTGGCACTCTAGAAAAATTCACAAGTACCAGAGGATTCAAACTACACGGTGCACAAAATGCTCTGTTTTACTGAGACTAGGAGAGACCTGCTTGTTAAAATGAGACATTTTTGTAAAACAGTTGGTTGTAATTGAGTTTCAGTGAACCATGGGGCCATAACGTGGGAGCTAATGGAAATCTTTTACGAAAGCGGTGTAGCCAATGGGACACTGGGCCTGGTTCTAAGCCATTTTTGTTAACAAGCGTATATTGATTGCATACTGAGTGCAGAATCCTGTATTGGGGAGATAGAAAGGAAGCCAAGGCAAGGTTTCTGCCTTTGAAGGATGGAGTAGAGGTGATATAAAGTTGCAGATTTATGAGAACCAAGTTTAGTCTGTCCTCCCCCTTTCAGAATCCATGATAAGAATACTCATATTTAGCTTCTCATTCTCTTGTGATTATGAAATAATGCGATGAGTTGTCAGTGGACAGGTAGGATTGGAGAAGAGACTACATGTCTACATGTAAGTCGTTACAGAATGACTGCACTTTATCAGTTTAACCAATTGACTGATTTCACAGTAATTAGCACATAATTATATTTTGAAGTGCCAGAACATTTAATCACTTTAGGCATTTTATTTTGTGGGGGGATATGTGGCCAATTCAGGAAATGCTGTTCACCACCAAGCAGGCTTCAATTTTTGAGGTTTTTTTAAACCAATATTATATATCCTATGCTGGTTACGTAGAATTTCCTGGACACTGTTCTTCTTAAAATAATATTTAGTCATCTTTTTTTTTTTACAGCTGCCTTTTAAAGACTATAATTCTATTCTTGACAAGGATCTAAAATTTAAAGTGTTGAATTTTGTGTTTTATAGTTATTTGTAAGTGAATTTTGTTAGTAAAAGAAAATCGGTGAATACTTGAATCAAGATAACGTATACTTATAAAGTGAATATAATCGCCTGCAAAACTTGCTTTAAAATGGTATCCTGAATATTGTATCATTGTTTAATATGACAAAGTATTAAAATAAGAATTTGGAGGAGTGGCATTTTAGTATTTCATGGAAATGAATAATAAAATACAATTTTAATTATTATCTGATTTAATGACTATGAGGAATATTGAGTGAAAGTTAAACTGGAGTAGAATAACAGTGATACAGTATTTAACTGCTTCTTGG